GGCCGACCTTTTCCAGGGTCGCTTGATCTTGCAGGGTTGGCCTTCAGAAGGTGACCACAAGGGTCATCTATTTTGGACAATTACCCTTTTCTACCTTGAGAAAGGCGAACTACATCCCATTTTGCCGAGCACGAATCGCAAAGGTTCTGGCTTTGAGGTCTTTGGGCGCAAGGAAGGAAATCAGAATGTGCTGGTGCTTCATTTCCTCGACCCCTGGGTTTGACCCGCTTTTTGCACCCAGCTTTGGGCTAAAGGCCCAGGTCGGCATGAGCTGTCTCAATTTGTTTCATCCGGAGGAGCGCATGCACTTCAACTCCTTTGTGGGGGGCGCAGGCCGCAAGGACCTATCCCCGGTCTGCAGCTTGGATCTTGGAAAGCTCCGAATGGTCCGAAGCAGCCCTGTCCTTCGTGAGTTCCTCCAACCCAGTGGTGCCCGTGTTGGTCCCTTTTGAGGGGTGTCCCCTTAGAACTAATATACCCAAACAGGCGCCATCTTTCCCCATGGCCACCCGGGGTTTGCGTCCTGGACTTGATTTTCTTTTTTGGGAAGACCACTTTTAGTGGCAACAAAAGTCCGGACTTTTCTCGCGACTGAGAAGTGAGTCGGGGTTGGACAAGCAACGACCCCCTGGTCCAACCCTAAAGCCCAACCCATGGGTGCATGGAGGGGTGGGATAGACCAATCCTTGAAGACTACACTTTGGCCAAGCGCAAAAACACATTTTCCAGCCGAAGTTTTTTGCGCGTACCATGTACTTCTTGAGTGTAGAACCCTGAAATGCCCAACTATGTCCAGCCAATGAACCAAAAGGGAACAGCACCCAGCTGGTCAGGCCCGTTTAGAGTGCTCCATTTGATTTTTGGGGCCTGGCAATAGTTTTTCTTGCGCCCTTTTCTGTTCGGTAGGTCCTCCAGAAAAAGAATATCAACGAACAAAAGGTTCACCTCGTTCTTGTATCAGGGTCACCGGGCAACCGTCCTTGGAAATTCGTTGCCTTTGCTCGGCCATGGCTTGAAGCGAAACCGCCATAGACACTTTCCGCACTCAAGTGCGAAACGGGTTGTCAAATCAACTCACCTTCGCGTTTTCACTTTGAACGTCTATCTGCAACTTGAATTGTTACACGTTTCATCATTGCCCCCAACCCCAAAGTGTAGAGTTCGTGTAGCGAAACTCCCAGTAAGGGTCTATTGAAAAAGTGGTCCCAGCCGAATTTGGGCCGAACACCATGGTGTTTTGGGTATCCCGGCAGGGGGGGGTGAATGGTGTCAAATGACAAACCAAACTAGTCCACCAAAATCAGGTAACCCTTAGGTGGTCTGGAGTGGTCTGGGGGCTTTGTTTCCCAGGCAAATGGGGAAACCGCCCCGCACCTCCAAACCGCCGATTCAGCTGCAAACCAATTAGAGGGAAGGCTTCGGCTTGCAAACAGTTCTCGGGTGCGAAGCCTTCAGCCGCGCCTTTCAGGAAGCCTTCCTATGCAAAATTGGTCTCCGGAAGTCCTCGAATGTGGCCTGGGGTCTTGCTAATCCTTTCTCAGACGGCTTCCATGTGATGAATTGACGATGCGCTGTTTGCCCCTTTGGCCTTAAAGGGAACCTACCACCTCCGGAAAATATGTTTTCTTTTGCCCAAGCGCAACTGGAAGACGGCCTTGCTGCCAGCGCAGACCGTTCCCTACCAAAGATGGGGTTGACCCCCAGAGGGACATCGGATTCTTTTCCGACTGGCTGAGCTGCTACCCAGGCCCAGCTCAGCACCGTTGAAATCCTTGGACTGGTGGCTTGGTGAAGGGTAGTTTCCCTAGGTCCCCCAGTAGTGCCCTTTTATGTTTTTGGTGGGGGAAGGTTCCCCTACTAAAATAGACTACAGAAAAAGGGGTACCCTTATTCTAGCCTCTTTACTCGAGGGCCTAGCTTCCCATTCTCGACAAGAACCGGGGCCAATCCCAACCGCCAACTGACTGTGACCTGAATGAATGTTGGACCCTGGATTCTATTTCCCCCGGGTTGATTTTGCTTGGGGTGTCAGTCTACTTTGGGCTTACACCCCTAGCACGGATGTTCTCAAATGGATTCCCACTCGTGGTGTCTTGGGATGCATCCAGGCAAGCGCGCGCCATCCTCCGAAGCCGAGAGCGAGCCGGTGGTAAGGGAACTGGACATCTCCGGGATTCCCGGGCGGCTTGCCAGCGTGAGAAGGAATGGGCCATGTCCTGCAACCTTTACGGAAGGCCTTTGACCGAAGCCGGTGGCGAAATGATGGACCGTGTGAGAAAATCTTTGGGGCTGGGGGAAGGGAGGGGCAGCGAGCCCTCATTTGTGCCTTATAAGGGTTAATAAGGCCTTATTTGGGCTCCCAGGCCCCGTGAAAATGCCAACCAAGAAGCCATTTGGGGGAGTATGATACATTTGGCCCCGAGCGGAACCTTGCCCAAAGCCTTTGGCTTATGGTGCCCCCGTTTAGGCGAGCATACGGTGGAGATTTGGAGCCCAGGGACTGTGTTGCAAGTGGCGTCCGAGAAAGAACCACCCTAAGGGTACCAAGAAAAGGCAACCGCAACAAACAAGAGCCAAAACCAGGCGACGCGCCAACATGTTCCCATGTTTCATTTCTTCGAATGCTCTAGCGTCGCATCTTGGGATTTGCTCGCTCGGCTGGCCGCTCCCAAAGACACATCGCAGCCTGGAGCCCAAGAAGGTTGTATCGAGGGTGATAGGTCACGTTGGTGGGAAACAGGGGTGGAAGAGCTGGAAGTGTCTTCAAACGAGGTGGCCCTGAAGTAGGTGGCTTCCCTTTGAATCCACTTTTGAACCACCCCCAAAAAAGGGCGCCGCGAACCAAGGGCACACCCACGTGGATCTGGTTTCTCGAGGTGTTGGGAATGATCCGCTTGGTCCCTGAGGGAGCTATTTTCTTGGTGGCTCCCATCCATCCCCTTAGTCTTTTTAGCTTTTTGGTGTTTAGTGGGGACTTCCACTTAACCCACCAAAGTTAAACTTTTAGCGAGGGATCCGAGGACAGCCCAGTTTGTGATCCGCTTGGTTGGTCCCTGAGGGAGCCTAATTTTATGAGGGATGGTTCTTACCGGTGAAGAGAGTTCAAAGGGCATTTGTGCCCTCGGGTTGCAAGGCCTTGCAAAGGAATGGCCTTTCATAAAGCCCTTGAGTGCAAAGCCTGCGACTTCCACGATGCGAATGTTGAGAACGACCCCAAAACCGCCCCAAAAGGTGTCCTTGAAAACCACCCCAAGAGGGCACCGAGCCGCTAAGAAACGTACAGCTACTGGGCGCCAAATCGCGCATAGTCTCATGCTGTTAATATACCAAATAGGGGAAGCCAAAGAAGTGGGTGGGCTTTTTCTCCCAGACCCCATTTTAAACCATCACATGCTTATACATATAGTATATATATATATATAGAGCTACCAAAAAAATGCAAAAGCCACCAAGTTGGCAATTTGTTGCTTGAGATTCCCAGGTTCGAAGCCCCATAGCACCATAAGCTGTGCCCGTTTGCTGCTCGACCCTCTACGTAAAAGCCCCCATGGCATCATAGGCCGTGCATCATAACACAACCAAGTTGGCAATTGCGGTCCAGACCCCCAAGTTCAAAAACCATTTAGGCCAGACCCATAGCATTCAAAAACCCCACAGCATCAGCCATCAGCCGTTCCCCCCCCCCTCCCAACAAAAAAACAAGTTGGTAATTTTGGTGCCATAAGCTGTGCCAGTTTTAAAAAGCAGCCCCCGCATTCATAAAACCCCACGAACACCCATAAGCTGTTTTAAAGCCCCATCAGCAAACCCCACGGCATTCATTTAGCCCTCTCATAGTATCATCAGCTGCTTCCGTTTTAAAAGCTCGAGCTCCCTACGTCAAGACCCACAGCATCAGCAAACCGCCCTTTTAGCTCCAGCGTTCTCGCCGCGAGGGTGCAGCAGTTCATCGAAAGCCTCGGGGCCAGCGGGGAGGGCATCGAGGGCCTGGCGGAGCTGATGAGCAAACTGGCGGAGCCTCAACCGGAGCCCCAGGCGAAGCGGGGCCTTAGGGGGGGGCCCGGGGGGGGGGGGGGGGCAATGGGTTTCGAGGTCTTCCATTTGCTGAAATGAATATGGTCTTTTATTGTTCCCCTGTTGGTTTTAAAGGGGATCTATCACTAGGGGAAATATGTTCATTTTGTCCTGCAGACTTAGGCAAATGGAAGAGCTCAGAGGTGATCAAACCTTTTTTGGCAAGCACATGGAACAAACATAAGTAGCTTATAAGGTTACATAGGTTACTAACCCCGTATCAACTTGGCAGAACACCCAAGTAGTTGGTGCTTTCAATTTGTGGACTGGTTGGACCTCAACCCTTCTTGTGATGGAACGGGATGGTTTTAGTTTAGGGGCTTCAGGCAAGGGTCTTCGCAACTGGTTGGCATCCGAAGTAACTTTTTGCAAACTGCACATGGGGGACAAAGTAGCAGCTTATAACCCAGGTTGCTAACCACTTAACTTGGCAGAGTGCCCAAGTTGGTGCTTTGGATTGGTGGTTTGGGGGTCTGAACTGCAAACCCCTCACCTTTGTTGGGAAACCCCTCCTTGCTAGCGGGATCCAAGCCACCAGTTAGTGGTAAGCTCCAATGGCTCGTTTTTGTTACTCCCCTTTTGTGGCTTGAAAGGAAAACCAGGAGGAAGCGGGAGCCTCCTAACATAAGACATGCCCTTCCTGGTCTATGGGTCCGTGATGGTCCGTGTCACGCTTGGTGGATTTAAACCCACGACTTCCTTTTTCCCACCTCGTCTTTTCCAAATGAAAAAGGAACCCGAGTTCAGTGGCACCCGGCATAGGGAATGATTTCAAAACTGGGTGCGGGACACTTGTCAGTTTGTTTCTTTCATCGAGGCCGAAAGATCCGGAAACAAAAACGCGAATTACGCCACTCAGCACCCAGTAAGGTTAAACGATCACGCCCCTGTTCAAAACGTGCTACGCAAGCCTGGTTGTGCTTAGCACTTTTTTTGCTGACATTCTCTTCAGCGCTTGTGTTCTACTGCTACCTTCCAATTCCTTCTTTCTAGAAAACCTCCGGAAAATGGTTAGTTAACCTTTCATTTCCAGATCCTGCAAGTGAGCCACGCGGCTCTGATTGTTTGGAAGCTTTTCACCATCTCGCTAAGGCCAGAGAAGGGTAGAACGTCTTTCAGCCTTGGAAACGGCCTGAAACTGAACACCGCAGGTCATGATGCCTGGGGGGCCAACTGGGTGTTGCTCAAAATAGAGACACACCATTGCTTTGGTGCATGTTGCTTGGATGTTAGGATTTTAACTGTGCCAACTAATGGGTTTTCCAATTAAACCACTAAAAGTTAAACTTTTAGCAGGGGAGCAGAAAGCAACCGAGATTGATGGATGGTGTCAACGAAAAACCAAACCCCCCACGCAACCTCATTCGGCCTTGTGTCAACCTGCCAAGGCGTGTTAAGCCCCTCACCCCTGGGGCCAACTTGGGTTGTCCACGCAAACCTGCCGAAGCCTACCGAGTGCTTGACTTCCAGTTCCAGATGCACAGACGACCCTTGTAACCTGCTGGTTTCCGCTGAACAGGTTGCAGATTGCACCAAAATTGTTGGAAGGGGCCCTGATTGGAGCATTCGGTCGTGCAAACCCCAAATCGCCAAGTCTTTCTGCCCATGTTTAGGAACTGAACCGGGCCTTCTTCATGGACCTATTGACCGGTGACAGTCATTGTGTTAAGCCAGTTGGCTGGAAAGGCAATGCCCTTGAAACACACTTTTCGTCATGTTTTGACTTTTTTGGTGGTATCTCGTAAATTGTTTAGAATTCCATGGGGCCGAAAGGTGACGCTCCAGATATGGCGTTGCATACGTAGACGCATTCAATTCAAGAGGCCTGTGAAGATCCTCCGCCCAATGGATTGACAGCGACTCCTTCCGAAATGTAGCCAGGCTTGGCCAACGGAGGGGTTTGCGCCAGTCACCTTCCATGTCTAGGTCCCCCAGTAGTGCCCTTTCTCTCCCCTTTTTTGGTTGGGAGGGTTCCCCGACTAAAATAGACAAAAAAGAAGAAATCGGATACTCTTATTCTAACCTCTCTACTGGAGGACCTAGATGTGGACCTCGAGGGTGCCCTAAACAAACTGCTCTCTCCACATCCCGAGCCAGGCCAGCGCGACGTCTCCTCCCACGCCAGCCACAGCGACGGAGTATGTGAAGTTGCCCAAGGGCCACCCGGTCCAGTTGCCATTTGTTCGATTTGGTTTGGAACAAGTTGACCGTTTTGGGCTTACAGGACCTTCTATTTGCTTAAGGATATTTTTCATTTTCCCTTGCTGGTTTTAACAGGAACTTATCACTACTGGACATATTATTTATTTTTTTGCAGGGGTCTACACCAAATGGAAGGGATTTGTGGGGTTTTCTCCGTTTTCTCTTTTTGCTTAGACGTGGAACTACGTCTTGTTTCAGAACTCAGAATTGCCGAGCCTGAGCACCGGTTGAGTCGGCAAGCTTTAAGCCCATTTCAGTAGGCGAAACATATCAACACTTTTTCGGGCCAGTCAACTCGCCGCGTCGGGAATTGCCGGTTTACAGTGTGATTGATGACTAGAGATCGGATACCAACTGCCAAACTCCAAAGCACCAAGCTCCAAACCACCAAATGGGCAAGCGGGTGTTTCCTTGTTTTTTCCATAGCTTTCTGTCAAACTTCCAGCTTTCTTCCTCTTCAACTCTCCTTTTCCCCTACCGTGAGCCATCTTTGCTAGTTATAAGTGATTAGCTTCCTTTCCTGCAAGCTTGCTGGTGGCTTTTTGTTTCATGACCGTTTTTCATATAGGACCTCCCGGCTTCCTTTCTGTATAAACCGCACTCTTGATGCGGTCGGATCCACGGGCCGCCGATGCGCGACGAGGCGAGGGGGGCTGCCCCAAGGGAGCGGAGATCCTCACCTTCGAGGAGTGCAGGCGCGCGCGCGCGTTCAACGAGCGCCGGCCGCGTGGGGCGAAGCAGATCGTTGTTTTGTTCCCCGTGTTTTTTTGGGGGAGACGCCCCCCCTAAAAAAAGTAATTGGGATTTGCCGTGTGTTTTTGGGAGACCCCCCCCCCAAAAAAAAAAACAAAGATTGTGTGTTTTGTTGTTGTTGTTTTTTGGGAGACCCCCCCCAAAAAAAAACACCATGTGATTGTTGTGGTTTTCCCGTGCTTTTTGGGAGACCCCCCAAACAATAATAATAATAATAATAATAATTAATAATAATAATAAAAATAATAATAATAATCATAATACTATATGTTTGTTGTGTGTTTGGTGTTTTTTGGGAGACAACCCCAAAAGTGTTTTTTTTGGGGGGAGACACCCCCACAAAAAAATATATGTGTTTTTTTTTGGAGACACCCCCAACAAAAGGTCGCCTCAAACAAATGACACACTCAAATGACAAATGACACACTCAAAGGGAGTCCAATTCGTGAGTTTCACATAATCACACGAGGCTGACATAAAGTACAATTGGAACTAAAGTCCCCACCCGCCGTCCCACCCTCATTGCGCTCAGCTAGGCACTTTTCCCAGGGCTTGCTTGGGGGGAATAGCGCCAGCTATGTGGCAAGCCAGCACTGGCTTGCTGTGTTTGTATTCGAGATAGAGGAAACAAATCTTGACTGCTATTGGGTTGGATCTTTAGACTTTAGTTTTTTTGGAACATTAAGGGGTTTTCCACTAAACCCACAGAAAGTTCAACTTTTTGCAGAGGGGTCAGCAGCAACCGCGGGTGGTGTTCTTTGCGGAAGTAGTGCAGCTTTGAGCTGAGCCCCAGCCCCTCAAGTTCCTGCCTGCCTGGTTTGGCATTCACGCCATGGAACCCCAACGGAACACTGTGTGCAAGGCACACTTGCCCAACGCCGGCCTTTCGACCTTTTGGTGTTCCTTAGTTGGGCTATGTTTAGTCATGCCCCCAACTGGTTATATAGCCTTTTATTTCTGGGTGCCTTGGGCAACCGAGACAATCGCCAAACCTTTGACCTTTGAGAAACTCCATTGCCGTTTTTTTTTTTTTTTTTTTTTTTTGGTTTGTTTCTCCTCACAAAGGGCAAGCGGCATTTTTCCTGGCAAAGGGAATCAAGGAACGAGCTCTTTTTTTTGGGGGGTTGAGCAAAAGCGGGAGGTGCCACAATTTAGACCCCAGGAAAGTGAACACAAAATGTGCAGCAAGGGGTGGGCAGCCATTTTGGCACAGTGACTCTGACATGACCACAAGGGTAGGAAACTCATTTGAGCCACAATCAAAACCCGGGCAAGTGAAGGTTAGTAAGGGACGATCCCAGCCATAAATAGCTGCGGCCGCCTGCTTAGTTCTTTACATGGTTCTAGGTCGATCATTTTTGTACCGGGTTTTGATTGTGACTCATTTGGTGTCCTTTTGCCAGCCAATGTTGTGGCGGGCCATCATTCACTGTCCCTTCCGCCTTCCGCCGGTGATGTCTCAATAATGTTTCTACCCCTTACAACTCGGTTCCCTTTTCCCGTGCACATCCAAGTCTTTGGGAAAGGGGACGCGGAATTCACCCCAAGCCAAACAGAGTCCTGAAACCTGTACCGTTTTTTTGTGGGCCAATTACCCTTGATGCTTTGGAGTGGGGATTTGAGCGCGGGCATGGAAAGGCCCAAAAGAACTTTGTCCAAGCCACCACTCTCCAAACCACCAACCCAAACCACCAACCTCCAAACCGCCAACTCGAAAGCTGAAGTTGGGCAGGGAGTTTGGTTTCCCGCAGGGCGGCCATCGTGGCGCTGGGCTTAAAGCCTGATCCTTCCTGGAGACTCGGCCTTGCGGCCTTGCAGATTTCAGGCTCCCCTTCATATGTTTTGTTGTTCTCCTCTCTCTTCCAGTTGCTGAAGAGTTTTTTTTTTTTTTTTTTTTAATCCCTTGTTGGTTGTAAAAGGATTTTTCACTACTGGAAATATTGTTAGTTTTCCGTCTCAAATTAAATGGAAGTCCTTGGTTTGTGACAGAAAGAGCATATGGCTGAGGACCTTCTGGGGGAGGGGGGCTCAAAGGAAAATCGCAGAAGTTGACCTGTCTGTTTTGTTTCTCTCGTTGCTTTTAAGGCGCCTTTATTTGGGGATGGTTTGAAAGGAACGAAGCTACCACCTTCCCTGCTTCGTTCCCCCAAAATCATCCGGACCGGACTCAATGGCGCTGGCTCATCGAAGCTGTTTTCCCCCTCGTGACAGGCCCTTCCACGTCAGTCAGGTACCCCTAGGCTTGGCATAAATGGCTGCTCAAAAAACCGGTCACAAAATGGAACCCTGGTAAGTGGAGACATGGACCAAAACCTGCGTACCCACTCCTCTTTAATTTTGAGCCACACCCATATATTTATAATGTCCGAAAGGTATCATGAGCTCCCCTGCGGGCAAAAGAGATCAACTATGATGAGGGCCCGAGCCTCCCTTGGTAATTCCTTTTTCAATTGGTGAATGCATTTGTTGCCCAGATTTATGCACGCATACATGTATATCTACATTACTACGTATTATAGATATATATCTATTTATATATACACAGTGTTCTTTCTCCTTTTCGCAGCCAACATTCGGTAGCTGTGACTCCCTATGGCACAAACACTTATGGGTTTGTCCCGAAAAACGGAATTCGCTTGGAGGAGTCCCGATGTTGGAGAAGCACCCACACCACCGCCGCCACCCAATTATTCACAGACAAACTGTTTATTTGTTTTGTGGCGAGTTGCGACAATTCCTTTTCAATCAATTGCCTGTCATAGGAACTGAAGTTGCAAGACCACACAGGCAACGATGCCAAGACCATGGCTGGGATACAGTAACTTGGCAGTTGCCAAGGCCATATTTAGCTTGAGTGTGGTGACCGCGGGGTCCGCGAATCACCAAAAAAAACTCATCAAACGCATTTGCTTATTCAATGGCGGGTGATTGTCCAAATCAAAAGTTCAAGTAAGTTGGCTTTGCCTCGAAGCATGTTTTTGGAGCGCTCCGAACTGGAACTTCGAAGTATAATCTGTTTGTGACGCCGAAATGCATCAAGCGGTATGTCCTGCAACTGTTTCACACATTTCAATATTTTCTCACCTGAAATTACCTGTTCCTTTCCGCCTTGTCCATTCATAATACAAGCAAAAGGTGATCACCTTCTATTTCTAGGTGGGGCAACCGAGTTTTAGGATACGCTAAATATGGAACAGAGTCAGGCGTTGGCCCAAGTTACAGGCAGCACTAAACGACGCCAGGGTCAACATCGCCTCTACTTTTGGCCACGTGACATGGGTTTTGGCTTTGTTTCATATGATCTAAGGTGGTTCCACTACCTGCAATATCTCAAACCACTAGGATAATGTTTCGATTCGGCGATAGCTCATGATGAACACCTTGACGAGGGAAGAAGCAGGAGGAGGAGGAACAGAACCAGAAGAACAATAACAACAACCACAACAACACGGGAAGTAAGCTGCTAATCTGTGACTGGCTCGCCAAACATGCTCGACGTTGAACATGTTGCGTTCTGTTTTGCAGTTTTGCCTGAGATTCCCAATTGACTGAAACCCTCAGAATTGCCATGCCTGGGCTGCTGTTCCCCACATTTTCCTGTTTGGCGGTTTTGAGTGTTGGGCAAGTGTTGTTGTTTTGGCTTCAAATCACCATATCCCCATCCTTCTGGTTTGCTGGGCCAGGGGTTGTTTGTTAAAGATCTAGGGCTGCTTTCCTTGTCCATTCTTTTCAGGGATCCGAATCTTTCTAGAAAGCCTCCGGAAGCCCGATCGGGAAAACGGATCCGGCTTTTGGAAAGACGGATGGTTGAAAAGAATGGAAAAGGAATTTCAACCTCTAGAAAAGTTGGTTGTGATCTGGCTTCCTGCCAATGAACTGGCCAAGGACCAGCAACTACGAGGGTGTGCCCAGATACTGCTCCATGCGCGAGCGCCCGGGAGAGGGCGCGAGAGCCCGAGGGCCTAGAGTCGGCGAGTCGGCCGGGGGGGGGAAGGGAGGGAGTGGTCAGAGGCGTCCTCTTGAGCTTCGTTGGGTTAAAAATCGAAGGCGCTTTTCTTTGATGGATTTCGTTGCATTTACCGCCATCCGATTTTTGCAACAGGCGCCATCTATTCCAAAAGGCCACTTATGGGAGTGGTGCTAAGAAACTGAGACTGTGGGTTTCTGTGGATGGAGTCTTCTCCATCTCCAAGAGTTGGGGTATTTTTGGGGTCGCCTTCTTCTCCTTGTTTTCAACAAAACTTTTTTGTGGATGGACACCAGTGGTGTATCCCATTCATTCGGTTTCATCCATGCCAACGAGTGTAGGACCTTGTCCTCCCACTTTCTTTTTTGTTGCGAAACATGCAGCAACATCGGAAAGTAAGTCTTGTGCAACCCAGACGGGCCAAGGTTTGGAAGTGGTGGGCTCACAGCTACAATCAACTGCCAAAACAAGGGGGCCGCTTTTTGGTGTGGGGAGTTGTCTTTCTTTGTTGTGGTTTTAAGGGTCCCCTAAGAAAGACACACCCATTTGTCCTCATCAGGGTGCGAAGTTGATGGAAAACAAGAGTAGTTTCAACAGGCTAGTGCAATTCGGGGGGCCCACCGCGGAGGCATGGCAGCATGTCGAGAAAGAACTGCACCGTTTTATACTGTTGCTGAGTTGTTCAAGGCGAATCGATCTTTATGTGCGATCTGTTTGTGAGAGAAGGACGAAGAATGGCTGGAATCAAGTCCCAGGTGTGTTGACACACCACCGGAGTTGTTCAAAGCGGAATCGACCTTTTGGTGGAACAGTGCCCGTTTCGTTTCCCAAAGGAAGCCAGAAAGGAATGGGTCACTTTCTTTCACCTTCCTATTAATTCATGGTTTGGACTTTATGGGGCGCGCCTTAGCCAGCTGGCTTCAAAAGGAGATGAGGTTCAAATCCCCGAGCCACCAATCCAAACAACAAAGTAGAGGGAAGTGGGATCTTATTTCCCATTTTTTTTCCGAATTTAAAGCCACAAATGGACTATGCCGGACATGGATGTCTCTCAGAAATCAACTGAAGGCTCAGACAGCGGCGCCTTTGTGCTGCGACATTCTCATTATATGTATATATATATATATAAACACCTAGATTTGGATGCTTAGCGTGGCTGAAGAGCCATGCGATGCACTCCAAGTAACCCGTGGGGAACGCTGCGTGATGGCCCCATCCGCTGTTCCAGAAAGCTCTCAGCCCAAAGCGCAGTAGTGCCCTTCTCTCCCCCTTTTTGGGGCAGGGTTTCCCTACTAAGATAGACTACAGGAAAAAATCTGCCAACCTCTCTTCTGGAGAACCTAGTGAAATGACCTTTTGGTTTTGGCTAAGGGAAGGTTTAAGAGACAGTCAGAATTATCCGCCCTCTTCATTCTGTGCATGATTTTGGGAGATTAGGCCATGTACTAGTTTTCGACTGTTTGTTTTTTTTTGTTGGGGGATCGTGCGCTTTCCCTTTGGTGTCCCTTTCACCCAACCCTTCATCAAGGGACTCAACTCCAAAAAAGACGACACGCACCGAAAACGAACGTCCCCCCGTTCGGCACCCTCCCGAGCGACCGTCCCAGCCACGTCCAGCTCGGGTTGGCGGATCGAGGAGCGCATGCACTTCAACACCGCCAACAAAGGCGCCGGGCGCGAGGACCTCGCGCCCATCTGCCGGCGAGGCCTCGGGAAAGCTTCGGGGGGTTGGGGGGGGGGGGGCGTTGGCTATGCCTGGTGCGAGCCTCGCCGTAGACAAAACCATGGAACCTGAAAAGGTGAAAAGGGGCTCCCACAAAAGGAGTCTCCTCTGCACATGGGTTTTTGTTGGCTTTAATATGGTTGTTTGTTGATTTTATGTTCATCTGGAGGGGAGTACATTCGCCCGATGTTCTTCGTTTAAAGAGTTGAAACCAACTGCGCGCCGCCGTGGCGACCATGCTTTTAATCTGGGTGTGGCTCAATGGAACCAAAGACTAAACCCTGCGAAACCCTAGCTCTTTAATTTTGAGCCACAGCCATTTCTTCAAAGGGAAGCCAAACGACGATGGGGCAAGTTGAGGTACCCCTTCTCGGAGGGAACCTGATGTTGTTTTTTTTTTTGTCCAGAGATCTGCCATTTAGCGCCCATGGTTTTCAAGGAGATGTCGTGGAGGTTGTAGCCTCAAAGGGGGGAAAAGGGGCCGCGAGGATTCGTCAAAGGGCCCTGAGGGCCGATTGCTGAAACAGTTGGTCGAAGGGATATTCGAGAACAAAGGCGACCTTCAGAAACGCGTCCCCTCATTGCATGTCAAGCTTGGTGCCAAAACAATGCCCATTTCACGGGGATTTGGTGAACATCTTGCAGGAGCGATCACGATAGATGTTTGTACTTTTCGACTACCCCTAATTGGTGGTTTGGAGTTGTTGCTCGGGGAATTGAACCCCATATTTTTTTGAAGCTATAAAGAGGGAGGTAGCCACTAGAATAACGTCCAAGCCACCAAACCTGTGAACCAGTGCTTTTTGACCAGCCCGGGATGGGGCTTAACCCTGGATGGGGCCAACATGGGGGCCCTTGTGTTGAACCAGTAGTTCAAAATCAGGGCTAGCACAAAGCAAGCAAACAAGCAAGCACACGTGCCCACACACATCCGCTTATAGGGTGGCTAGGTTCTTTCCCGTTAACCCCCTAGGGTAGCTTCGGATTGGTTGTAGAAGCGATTTCAGCCAACACCCGTCGGGCCAGGCGCGCGCGTGTCCAACGCCGCCGCGAAAGCGAAGGCAAAGGCGGAGACGCAGGCGGTGCAGGAGCTGAGCGGGCGCTCGCAGCAGCGGTTCCTGGAGAAGGCGCGGAAACCCAATGCTCCAGGGGTTTTCTCACTCCACGAGTTCCTGGAAGACCGTTTTTGGTGGTAAACGACAAAAACTGGTCGTCTTTTGTTTTGCCAATCTCCTCAGGAAGTGAGACTCATGAACCAATGTGACTGTTTGCAAAATGAAGGTTTTAGAATTCCAATAGGGAAGAGGGGTGGTTCGGAGCAGGTTCGATGCCACCTGGGCTTATTCAAGAAACCGCGAAACCAGTTTTAGGAGCTGATCTCAAGCGGCTCCGTTTGAAACACTTTTGTTTATCTCAACCGCGGAACCATCCTGAAAATGCGAGCGCGATGGATCAGTGCATTTACTTAGGGCACTTCTCAACCAAATTAAGTCATCGTCACAAGAGAAACCCTCGGACGAACAGCGTCGCAGAGGAGTCTTTGCGAGTACGTGTAAAAATAGGGATTTGGACCCCACAATTTCGGGTGTCCTTGTGGTCTCCCTTCCATCAAAAAGAGCACCGGGGCATCCGCAAAACACAGGCAACGTTGATGTCGAAAGGAAACCACCGGTCGGATTTCTATTTTCGTGGGTTGGCGCAGAGGGCCAGGGGGGCTCCCGCCCTTTTTCCCCTGCCGGAGGCCTGGGGTATGAAAGGTGTGGTGGACTTGACACACCTCAGTTCTTCAAAGCGAATCGACCTTTTGAGCTTTTGGCGTTTTCCTATTTTCTTGGTGGCTCCCAGCCATCCCCTTAGCTTTTTAGCCTTCCATTTAACCCACTAAAAGTCAAACTTTTAGCATGGGATCTCAGGGCAGCCCAGTTTTGTTCCCCATTTTTAGTCACTCCCCCAAACGGTGACCACCTTGTATTTCCAGATCCTGTCGGCAAGTGAGACATCCATCAGCTGTGTTAAAAGTTAGTGTAACCGTTCAGCTGCCCGAAGCAAATCGACCAGATTGTCCTGGGCCTGGTCGGGGTTGGATACAATGCGGGTGTGTGTGTACGCGTGTGGGGGGGGGGGGGCGGCCAGTTGTCAGGATTTGAGGTCCTTTCAGTTTGGGCAACTATCTTCCCCTCTTGTGCATTGATGGTTGTTAGGTCTTTTACTCATGGCCTGCACAGTCCTTTGCTGCCAAGTGTCTTCTGTTGCAACAGGGCCGCCATGCCTGAGGAAAAGC